CCCCAACCCTTAGACCCTTTTTTCAAACCTTGGCCACTTTAAAGATGCTGGGTTTCCACCCCCCAAATTCCCCCACCCACCCATGGTGGGTGGGGAATTCTGGGAGTTGAAGTCCACGCATCTTAAAGTTGCCAAGGTTGAGAAACATGGTCCTAAGGATGTGGTAATGTATTGGTGTAGTATACGTGCAGATCCAAGCAGTGTGTCCTTTTGTCATTGACAGATGGAAATTTTCTCAATGTGCAGATTTTCTAAGTGCCGTCCGAGGTTTTTTGGTATGGCACCCTGTGTGCCGATAACCACTGGGACCGCCGCAGCCGGTTTATGCCATAATCTTTCAACTTCGATTTTGAGATCTTGATACTTTGCGGTCTTCTCCAATTCTCTGTCTTCTATTCTACTATCCCCTGGTATTGTCCCATCCATTATCCACACTTTCTTCTTCACAACCCCAGTTAATTCTGGTGTGTTAAGTGCCAAGACTTTATCAGTTTGTATTCGGAAATCCCACAGTATTTTAACCTGCTCATTTTCGGCTACTTTTTCAACTATCTGTTCCCACCATTTTTCATTACTGGCACATGATAATTTTTACAGATGTTCCAGTGAATCATTCTGGCGACTGTGTTATATCGTTGTTTATAATCAGTTTGTGCGATCTTCTTGCATGAGCTGAGTATATGATCTACGGTTTCTTCTGCTTCTTTGCACAATCTACACTTTGAATCATTCGATGATTTTTCAGTTCTGGCCTTGATTGCATTAGCTCAAATAGCTTGCTCTTGATCTGACAAAATCAAGCCTTCAATTTCTTTTCTTTTTTCTTTTAATGTTCCAGTTGTAAGCCATGGCCAGGTATTATTTTTATCCACTTTCCCCTCGATCTTTTGTAGAAATTGACCATGTTCTGCTTTTCCTCGCCAGCATTCTCTTCGTGTTTTTATTACGTTATTTCAGTATTCATGTTCTGTTTCCTGTACATTCAGTAAGTTCCAATTATTATTATTATTATTTAAATTTATATGCCGCCTGACTCCCAGCAACTCCAGGTGGCTTACAAATGACTTTAAAACTTGAAAACACGACAACAAAAACAAGAAACAAAAAAGGGTAGAGATGGCAGAATAACAAACCAGGTAGAAACAAAAGAAAACAGTGGGGGTCAGTTGTCCTCACCAAAGGCCTGGGTGAAGAGATGGGCGGTATACAAATTTAATAATAAATAAATAAAAATAAAATAAAATAAAATAAATTGGGCTCTGGCCCTACTAGGAAGCCAACGTGGCTGGAGAGAGGCAATGGGGGAGAAGCAAAGGGGTCCAGAATAATGCCTGCTTCTGGACCCAAATCAGCGAACATAAAGAAGTCAGAGAAGACCAGCTCATAAACTCTGCTCCTTTTGAAGGGGACGGCGCTCCAAAAGTTATACAGCCCTTAGGCTGTTTTGCGGTTTATCCCCAAGCATCTCAATTTGCCTGGGCACAGAACTCTTGCGGTTTCGGCCTGATGCCATGCAATTGATCACATTTACCAGCTGGCTGCAGTTACATTCTTTTCGCTTTCTCTGCACCCGTTTTTGGCAGGGAAACAGCTTCTCGGGGTGTACCGAGGACCCTCTCCCCCAGCCCAGTCTGTGGTAGTGAAGCAGGCAGCAGCTGTCTCATTGTTCGAAAGGCAATATTTCCCCCTCTCTGGCATATCCTGTGAGGTGCCAGTGGGACCTCTGTTGTCAGACATGCCCCCCCAGAGAGAATCCATGGCTTGCTGCCAGGGTCTGTCACTTCCATTTTTTCCCTGTTGGTTTCAAAGCTGAGACTCTTAAGCAGCTTTTCCCACTCCAGAACCTGAAGTTAAGTGAGGATCCACTCAGTGTTCATCCTGGATACCTTTACATTAAGCAAAAAACAGAAGGGATCTGGTGGCACCTTTTCAGACGAAGACATTTTATTAAAAGGCCTAAGCTTTATAAAGCTTAAGCCTTTTAATAAAATTTCTTCATCCGAAAAGGTGCTACGGCTCCTGATTTTTTGCCGTGGGCTAACACAACTCTTTTGCTCCAATCCTTGTCTTTGTATAACTTGAGAGCTACCTCTTTTTTTTTTTGGTTTATTTTGGGGGGTTTTGTTATTTTTTCACTATCAAGAAGAAAAAAACGCATTAAAAAGTGCCATTACCAAAAAGGTGACAAAAATACAACAAAGGAAATAAAAACTTGGCAACATGACACCTTTTGTGACGTCCAGATCTCGTCACCAGGCAGAAACATGAGAAAAAGGCATCTTGGAAGGAAGGGTCAAGGAAAATGAAGCGTTCTTCCTGCTAATCTCAGTCCAAGGCACTAGGCTGGGGAGCAGCAAGTCTCCAAACAGAGTTAAATTCCAGTTCCCTACATCCCTCATCACTGGCCACACTTTTTACTGCTCCTGGGGATTTAAATTCGGTGAAATCCAAGGGGAAGAATGGAATCATCACAGTCATCTTCAACTCTTGCTGAAGGACATTAAATCATTTTTAGTTTTTAACTTTAGTTTTTTTCCCTATGCTTAGGTCTACCTAACTACAGCAGAAATGGACAATCCGTGGGCCATATGTAACTTTGAATCACACTGCTGAAATTTGGTGGCGGAATGGGCAGTTTGGGGCAGAACAATTTTTCATTTTTTTTTAAACCCTCCTTAAAACATTAAGGTGGGAAAAGAAGTGGGGGGCACTTAGCTTCTATTCCCACCCCTAAAACCTTGAAAAATAGGCCAGAATATTCTCTTTATTTTGTTCCATTTTGGAGCTGAAGTTGATAGCTCCATTTGGAGCTGTTGGGGATTGGGGAGTAGGCTTAATGGAAGGTTTTCTGCTCCCATTCCTACCCTTAAGCCCCCAACGTGAAAACATGGCCCCCGCAATTCAGTCTCCCCTCTTTCTGTGACATTGGCTCAGTCTCCTAGAACATTGGAGGCTGAGTCACAGCCCTTGAATACTGGGGCTTCCTGCCTGATCGTTTCTCAGCCCTCTCTGGAGAGTGAATTGGGGTTCCCCTCCCCTCCCTTCCCCCATTCATTCATTCATTCATTCATTCATTCATTCACTCATTCACTCACTCATTCATTCATTCATTCATTCATTCATTCATTCATTCATTCATTCATTCATACCCTACCACATTCCCATTGGACTCTCAGTGGCTTGGTTTTCCTAACCGGTATCTTCTTGCCGTTTCCTGATCTCTCCTTTTTTCTCCATCAGGTAATTTCAACTTAGAGGAGGTGAAGAAATCAACCTACTTTTTCAACTGATTCTCCAAGACCATCTGCTGCACCTTGGTCCTTATCCTCTGCATTTGAACTCCAACCAGGCCAGGTTGTCTGTGGGGCAAAAATAAGGAGCCACTTCCTGTTTCTCTTCCACTTTAACAGGACTGGAGATGTTTTTGGTTCCTTAAATGTTCTCCCTCTCTCTGTGCTTCTGGGGGGAGTCAGCCTGGCAAGGAATTCCTTCCACGTGGAGGGGGTGTCGTGTCTCCCCAGGAACTGTGTTCTTAGGTTTACAAGGGAGGACAAAGGTGCTTGTGCCCAAGTGTGCAAACAGCGTGTTCCTCCATGAATAGTTCAGAGAAAGAACTTAGTTTGGCGTTTCTGTCTCTTCTGGAAGAAAACTGTTGGTCCTTGTCCTCACTCTTGGGAGTATTGGGTTACAGAATCCATCACTGCACTCTTTCCCCCCCTCCCCTTCACTTTTTACGTACTTTGTTCCTGTTGACGGGGCTGGACTTGCAGCCTTCATTCTCCATCCCAGTAATTTCCTCTTGCCATTGCAAATGAAATAAATCTTTGAAATCTGGGCCAAGCTTTTCTACTCATAATTCTAGATTTGGGTACAGCGGGAAATATACATAATACAAAGTCTCTTGCTACAAAGTGCTGGGTAAGGAGGCTCCTGCGGGCGTCTGTTGTTGTTCTCCGCTTGGGCTTCCCTTTCTCCCTGTCTCGCCTTTTTGACTGTCAGTCATGGGCTGACACATGTCTGCAGCAACGCACCATCCTTCAGATTGCCCGCCCTTCGCATCTCTGCATGCATTTCTGCTTAGAGTGTGCCTCTTTCTAAAAAGCAGGACCGTTTTCCTGCAGGGAGAAATGGGGATGTCTTACTCTTTTCACACTGAAATGGTAACCCTTTCTAGACAGAGAGAGTAAAAAAGACCTTCTCTTTGAAACATGCAGAGAAGAAGCATGTCTCACCAAATGGAAGCTTGGAAAAACCTGGCTATATGTTAGGCATGGGCAACGTGTGGGCCTCCAGATGTTTGACTCTGCCACCCAGAAATCCAAGCCAGCCTGTTTAGGAGGATCCCACCAACTTCCATCAGCCCTAACTGCTGGAGGGCTTCAAATTGCCCACCTAGGTCCACCTTGCAGGGTGAGTTATTCATGCCTCCGGGTCACAGCAAGGATCTCCAGATGATGGTAATGACGATGATGATGACCTAATTAAAGGTATATGCTGCCCAACTCCCAGTGACTCTGGGCAGTTGACCAACTGTTTAAAACATTAAAAACAAGAAAACATGAAACAAAAATGAAGTGTAAAGTTGGCAAAGATGGTAAAGTCCAGAGGAGAACGAAAACCCACGCAATCTAAAGGGGGCTTCACTCACCCTCGCCAAGGGCCTGGGTGAAGAACCAGGTCTTCAAGGCCCTTCGAAATGCTAGTAGGGTGGGGAACGTTAGAATCTTGGGGGGAACCTCATTCCAGAGGGCAGGGGCCATAACAGAAGGCATGCTACTGGAGTCCCAAAGGATGGCCTTGTTTAATTGAAGGAATGTAGAGCCCACCACCGCTGCTAGATCGAATCAGCCGGGCAGTTACTATGGGCAGTCCCTCAATTAACCAGTCCCTATGCCATCTTGCTAAATGATGTCTTTCAGCATCCTATGCTTGCCATGCCAGCTGAGGTGTTTGGGAGCTGTTCAACATCTGGAAGGCTCCAACACGGGGAAGACCCCATGTTCATACCATTGGTTTGCAAACACGGTTTGCAAAGACGCCCATGTTCAATTCCCAGCCCCTCCAGTATAAACAATCTGCTAGCATGTTATGAAAAAACTTATCCGCTCGAAACACCAGAGATCTGGCACCAGTTCAGCCAACTTGCTCATTTTTCACTCTTTGGGAGAAGAACTATTATGATACAAGCGAATGCCATAGAAAAACCTCACCTGATAGTTCTTCAAGTTGAATGAGAAATGGTAGAAAAAACCCCACAACTGGGCAAGATTTGAAAAATAGAACTACAGTACACAGATTTCAAGGTATCTTTAATGCTAGTCTGCGCTAAATACATAATCTTGGAGGCTTTTAAGAGGAATTTTGCCTCCTCATTTATACTAAGTTCATTAAGACAGTCTCCCAGATGATTCTGAAATGCTTCTTCCCAGATTCCTCATCACCTGGGCTGAGTTGCCATTTATAAGATAGACTGCCAACAGGCTCGCCTTCTGTCTCTTGATGGTTCTCTCTCTTTTCCCTTTCCCAGCTTCCCTGTAATCTTATAGCAGATGAGAACTTGCCTCTGTCATGTCTTCCAGGGGAAAAAATAGTTTCCCTGCATTTTTTTTTAACAGAAGTAGTTTTAGCCTTCTTACAGAGTTGACGTCTTGGTTTGGTCTACCAACGGGGACTTTCAAGAGCAGTGTTCCTGCAAATTATGCAGCCGCTAAGAGGTGTCTGTGAACAGCCTGCCATTCATAATACAATCCTCTCTGTTTCTCTAAGCAGCCCACGATCCCTTTGGCTTCCTGTGCTTCGATTCAACCTTGGGAAGATCATGAGAAAGTTTTTCTTTTAGGCACGTGGGTAGCATGAGGAAGGCTCCAGAGAGACATGCAGGAAAAACAGGATCAGCATCACCATCTTCCTTCACCCTTTTCAACAAGGAGCGGAGCCCGGAAATGCCTATTGAAGTTGGAAAACAATTCTCAAGTTTTCTGAGCATAAAAGTCTTTTGGAGTGGGCGGCTATAATAAATCTATAATATGTCTAATAAATAATAAGTCAGAAAGCAAAAACTCCCTTTGGATGAGGGGTGCACAGAGATTTTGAGACAGCATCCATATACACTCAGTAGACTTCAAAATTAACCGCTTTTGAAAAAGACCCATTTGGATTCAATTTTTATTTATACTAATGGGGATTTTGCTGTTGTTCCATGCCCCAAAATTCTCTACCTGTCCATCTTTTGCTTCAGCAATATCTAAATTTAGAATGCATGTGTTTAAAGGAAACACCAGTTTGTTTTTGGAAATGGAACTATTTGAGTGAGCGTATCCTTCATACCATAATTAGATTTTACATGCATTTTTTTGTTTAATTCTAACTGCTGCTGCAGCCTTGGAGGTCTTATCATTGGCTCTCTCTGCTAGGGCCCACAGCTTAAAAGCAATTTAATTACTTATACAGGCTGGGCTTCCTAATACTGTTATATTCTTTAGCTCTGCTAGTTGCTAAAATCCCATCATGCTACAGAATGACCCAAAAAAAGTGGGGGGGGGGGAATTAAGCAGGCATTTGCAGTTCATTTATGAATTGAAAGATTTTGATGGTGCTTTGGACTCCCCAAAGGGAATCTGAAAGTCAGTCAGCAAATGTAAGAACAATAGCAAAGATAATCACACTATGAAAGCAAAGATCAAATGACAGAAAAATGTCCCTATTTATTCAATATATCCTGAATACAATCCGGAACATAGGATATGATGTTAGGGGAAGTCAACAGTATGGATGCTGAATTTCTAGCATTCCTTGCTATGGAGTATGCTGGAAGAATGCGAGTTGGGAATTTAATGACATCAGAAACACCACATTGTACCCATCTCGCCCAAATATGTAAGGAGGCTGGACCGGAAGAAGATGAGGGTGGTTTTAAAATTGGAGAAAGAAACGTCCATAACCTGTGCTAGGCTGATGTCACTCTGCAAGCTCTAGTAATGAAAGTCAAGGAGCATGGTAAGAAAATGGGACTAGAATTACATATAAAGACGACCAAACTAATGATAACTGGTAGAACAACGTCAATGAAGACATTGAAGTGATGGATAGCTTCTACCTTTTAGGACTGAGATTCAACAGTAAATGAAGCAGCAGTCAAGATGCCGTGGACTAGCGTGGTGGGGAGGCCTTGGAAAAGATATTCAGATGCGGTGATGTGTGCGTACCAGTGTTTCTCAACCTCAGCAACTTTAAGATGTGTGGACTTCAACTTCCAGAATTCTCCAGCCAGCCATGCTGGCTGGGGAATTCT